ACAAAATTTTTACCATTAAATTGTTAAAGTTACCCTCGTCACTTCTGCATCATTGAACTAATCAAACTCCGCGGCGCTGGAAGCACGATTTAATCCGCGGCGCAAATGCTACTCGGCGCAACTGCTACTACACGAGGTTAGGTCCTAGTCCTGTCTAACACACTTCCACTCTCCAGCATCCTTATGGCAGTGTCATATATAAAATTGGACGAAAACGTTAGTTGGTCATTTAACACATTTTCGTGGTCGGATGTTACTGCCTTATAAATCTCAAACTCTTCTAAGGTGTTTAATTTAAATCTGTCTCTAGAGAAATGTAAAATATTCATGTTGTTACTAATGCTGGTATAATTGTGGCCTTGAGAAATTAAATGTTCTGCAAAAGATGATGTCTGGTGTACTGTTGACGCTTTTGGGAGATGTTCCTTGAAACGTTTTGTAAAGGAGCGTGCCGTCTGGCCGATGTAAAATTTAGTACAATCGGTACAATTGATCTTGTATACGCCGGATCTGTCTAAGGGTTGCGTCAATGAAGGACTGCGCTCTTTTAACAATGCGCCAAATTTGTTTTCTGTTCTGAAGGAAACTGTAATATTGTATCTTCTGTAATATCTTTTTTGTATATTTACCGTCTTGTGAGTAACAGTATAAGCGTAAATATATGTTTTAAGTGTTATAAGACGTTTCTTTTATTTACTTTCCGTAAATTTAATAACACGTACAATGCTGATCAAGAAGTTACTTGGGGTTTTGCCGCAATCAAATGCATAATACAGACTACCACTACAAATCCAATTTTAATTATTATAATGTTGTAGGTTATTACAATAAGATTATGTAACAGATTCTTATTCAATACAGTTATATAAAATAAAATAAACATTACTACAAAAGTAAATACCTTATGATAAAAAATACAGCAAATCTCTTCATTCTACTCGTATCCATAACAATTACACTGGTTGTTCATATTATTTGTTGAATTTAAATAGGTACGGTACCTTTTTAATTTCTCTTAGCACCTGTAATACGATGGTACTTGTACATCGATTGATCCTCCTCAAAATTGTCCAAAACAAGAGAAATAATATCCTTTTGACGAATGCTAGCTAGTTTGATTCGGGTTAAACTTTGGACTTTGGGGTTTGCAACCAAAACCTCTTCACTAATCTCTTGACAAATCAAGCATAATTTAAAATCAAAATCTTTTTTCTTTTTTTTAGAGGTCACTAAGAATGCTATGTCAAGAAATATATAACGAAGTATTCAGATTGTAACCATATTAGGGTGTTGAAAATGAACGAAATACAGTACCTTTTGTACACGTACAATAGTAATAGTCACATACCTGTAGTCGATGAAATAGTTATATGCAACTTTTGTAAGTTGGTGAAATTCTACTTTAAAATTGCCTAATCACTAGTCACTAAGAATAAACGTATATAAAAAACCAGCCACACACAATGTAAAAAAACGTAAGCAACTTAAAATAAAATGTATTGAAATTTAAAATATTTAAATAACTATTAAATTTTATAAAAGAATGTTATTTGGATAAATAAAACACAATAAATGTCAGTAGTACTAAACAGTACACTTTCACAACCCCGATATCACTGAATTGGAAGGCAATGAACTTTGGGGGCAATTATGACGCAACCTATAGGACGAACCCCAAGGCGTTTGGAGGCCTTGTTTTACATTTTAAACCAAATGTATTAGTAATAATATATTTTTTTCTTATAAGAAAATGCATCTAGTTAATATTTAGCCGAGTAATTAAGTAATTACACTATTATTTATCAACAATCCATACGATTTTCGAAAAAAATAGCTGTACGATGTAGATTTTGTTAAACTTATTATCGTTATAACTTTTTTATTAGTTAAGATACAACTTTTTACCCAATGACCTTTTCTATTGGTAATATTTTTTGGATTAAAACTACGTTTTAACCGATATCCTATCTCGTACCGTTCTCGAGCTACAGTCGTTTCGATGCATAGCGCGTTCCGCCATCTTTGCCCCCCTCCCCCCAAGTTCTCGACACCTGAAAAGTAGGCGTCATGCGTATTTTTTATCACCACAGTCCATATTACAACTATCAGCAAAGATATTTGATGTTACTTCTTTGCGACACTCAAAAAATAAATTCTACTTTCGGTAAAAAAAAACTACACGAAAAGTCCATTTTTACATATTTTATACAATAACTTGTTTATTTATAGAGATACGACCTCGGACCCAATAACCATTATTGTTGTCCACATTTTTAGAATTACAACGACTTTTTAACCGATGTTCTATCTTATACCGTTTTCGAACTATCAGCGTTTTAACGCATAGCGCAAACCGCCATGTTTGCCCCCTCCCCCCCACCTTATCGACCACTTTTGAAATAGGCGACATACGTAATTTTGATCACCACAGTCCATATTACAATAATCAGCAATAACATTGCGTACTACTTTTATGCATGCTCAAACCCCCTCAGCTCCTGGACTACACCCGCAGTCTGGACTTATCCGTCGGGTTAGCGTCGTCTGTTGTCGTAACTGATCGATCAGTAAATGTTTCGTGTCCGTAACGTGTTTTGTGTCGTGTGTAAATGTTTATTTATTTTTACGTGTTAAATATGACGCTCTTCATATGAAGAAAGAAGAAGTCCTTGTACCGCCTGATGATGATTCCACATAGGAGTTGAAACTAGTTGCAACTGCAATTAAATGGATTGCTTGATAGCAGGTATTTAAACCTTTTTAATATTATTTGGCAATCCGGAGGCTACATCCACAATAATGTTAAAACTATTTTTGTATTAAATAATAATTTTGCAAGGTTCGAAATTACAAAAAACAACATTTTAAATAAAAGAAAAGCTTTAAGGATTAAAATTCAAATAAAAGTGTGATAATCTATAAGAAAAACCCATGTATATGATTCCAAATTGGAGTTTAACTCATATCCCACCTTTTATGTATTTCATATTAGTTTATTTTCTTTCTCCACAGAAGTAAGGCAACATAATTGGTTTCCTTACCTCTCTGTATATATAGTTTCCCTTGCAATTTTAAGAAATACACCCAAACAGAAGTAAATTTTCAGTAAAAAGCCACCTATATAGTTTAAAAAAATGGTGTATAGAAAGTTTAAACATTAAAATTAAGGCTAGGATTATACTAGGACGCTAGCGTCCGAGAGGCTGGCGTCCGGGACGCTAGCGTCCCACTTTGAGCCGATTAATAGTCTAGTATTAATAATGCATCTCTACAAACTGTTTGAAAACTATGACCACAGACAAGGGAAACAAAGCAGTATAGTAAACAAAAGTATAGGAAACATAAACAATAAATATTTTTTTGTTTCCTTAGTCAATGCTATGACTTTGCACTTTTATTCTTAGCAACATATTATTCAGCCAGTGTTAAACTCTTGGGCTGGTTTACTATGCAATCTATGCTGGGAGTACCAAAGGGATCAGTGCTAAGAGATGCATGGCCGGTCTCTGATAAATAAACCATCAAAGCACAATATCAGACTTGCCTCTCTCCTCCTAGCTGCTTACTGTTACTCTGAGAGGCTTGGTGTAGTTTCTGGTTCCTTCAATCCCAATGGCTGGAGAAACAAGGTTCTGTTAAAAATCAAATGCGACAATTTTTGTTTATTAATTAATTGCATTTCATAACACTCCAATCGAAATCGATGACCACTTACCATCTTTTATGTATATTTACCGTCTTGCGAGTAACAGTATAAGCGTAAATACATGTTTTAAGTGTTATGAGACGTTTCTTTTATTTCAGTAAATTTAATAACACGTACAATGCTGATCAAGAAGTTATTTTGTTTAACTTATTATGTAAATTTCTCATAGTTTTATTCAGTAGCCTACGTTATATGTTAGGGTAAAATATGTACTTGAACCACTTTATTCTGTTTCTTTAGAAGACATTACATAACCACCATTGATTGTAAATACTTGCTTAGTTTTACAACATATTTTTTTAATAAAAAAAATTATGTGTAGCAGAATAAAGTTAATATTTTTATTAAATATAAACCAAGTGGACTTAAATATTACGAATGTAAACATAATGCAATTTATCTTCCTGTCACCATAGAGGTCAATCAATATTTACAGTAATCCCTCTCACACTGACCACAGGTTGTCACATTACCTGAGATACAGACGGGTGAGCAGCCAGATAGAGGGTGTTAATCTGAACTAACTGGGGACCAAATCCGTCAAAATTAATCAAACACTGAATCAAATAAAGGGAACTTCATATGAAAAACTCAGGGTTATTTCAATAAGGGTTTGGTACCCCTATAGTTCGGCTGCTTAGAAAGCGACCTCCTCCAGCATTGGTTTAGCATTAGCGCGCAGGTCGTTTTCTAAGCGGCCGAACTATAGTAAAACACATATGTGAGAAATTGAACTGGCTGGAATTCAAGCAAAATCTGTATTAATGAGATCTAGAGTAATGAAGGTTTGCTGTACTTCCAAAAGCTCCAACTGAAACAAAAACATTGGACATCCTGAGGATCATGCTACCCCTTCCCGAGAAAAACAAAATTCTTAATTCACTATGCTCTTAAAGGTTTTTGGACAGATTTTTGGGACAAATAATTATGTTGTGAATTTTTTGTAAAATAATTCTGGCTCTAGACAGCAAAGTAACATTTTAAAAGCACTTTACATAAACTTATTTTTGGGAGATGGCCTTTTCCTCCGACCCATGGAACAAGACACTGGATAGCTCCGCTGAAGAAAATTCCTGCAGGCGCCCATAGACATGTATAGGCCACTGCATGCCCTATGGCTATGCATGTTGATATTGGCTGATTCGTGATACTTTAGTGGATATTATCAGTCCAGTTGAAAGTTTTTGCATTAATCTGGAACAAACACACAAATATAAGGGGCTGTGCTGCTGTGCCTTCCATAATATGATTGTATGATGATCAATGAGATTATATTTATTGGTGTGTTACACAGGGGTATGGCAGCCGCAACAGTGGACAGCTCAAGTCACCAATCATCAAACGTCCGCTCTCTGCGCCGGTCACGCTGCAGGGCTGGCTATACAAGCAAGGCAGCGAAGGTCTCATGCTCTGGAAGAAGCGGTGGTTTGTCCTCTCCGAGTACTGTCTCTTCTATTACAAAAGTAAGAGACATTACTAGACTTTTTGTTTGAAGTTAATGTTGTTAGAGGTACATTAACAACAATTTGGAAATTGGATTTTTCGAATTTTACCTCATGATAGCTATGATATGATGCATATCATTAACAAACTGGCACATATTTCCCGATATAAAGAGAAAGTTTTCAATAGGACATTTTCCATCACAAGTAGCGATAAAAAAAGGTTTTGCAATCCTCAGAAACATAACAAAGATAACAAGATTAGTATTTAAATTAAACCAAAGCTAGAAAATTGGAAAAGAAAAACCACACTGTGAATCTTATATTAGGCAAAACAAAAACAAAAAATCTTGAAAAAACTAGACGGTAGGCGAACGTGATTTGGCCATGAAAAAATTTGTTATTTGTTGTGGAAAATGTTTGAAAAAGTCCATCAAAACATCATCATCTTAAACCCACAAAAGATTAATCCAAGTATTGTCTGCACTGGTGGCATTTTATGAGGGAAAGTGGTCCAAACCTCTCAAATAATTGTAGAGGGTGCAAATTGGAATATAACTCGTACCTGTTGCATCTAAGTCTAAGATGCTTACCACTAGGCTAGCAACACGCAACCAAAAACACATTGATAACAAAAACAAAAAATTGTAAAAAAAATAATCCAACAGTAAAACTGAACCATGATAATTTGCAACCACAAGCATGTGTTCTAAAGTCGTAAGCCGTTGGGAGTTTTGTTAGAATAATAGTGATTAGTGAGTTTCTAGGTAATGGGGTTTTGTTTTTGCCTTCATGACAACTGTTCGTATCAAAGCAGTTCTCTAAAACGGTCTTTCAAATTCGGGAACACATAAAAAAACCTGGATATCAATTGTCTCCTTGGTTTTGTAGTTGATTGCTGGAGCATGACTCAGGTATCCTTTGTGCCTGGTAGACTTCGAGAAAGAAGCAGAGTGATTTGCTGAAATCAAGTGATAAAATAGGGTGACTGACCATGAAGTAGCCCACATAATCCATGCCGGAATACTCTTTGAACTAGTATGTTCAGTGGATATGGTTTTAGTCCTTATTTCCAGGCCAATCCAAATAGTATATTTCATTACAAGGACCGAAAGTGGCATTTTCCGTCGCGCGCTCAAGTTTTTGTGTGAGGCGAAGCCGAACACAGGGAACCCTAATTTCACGTGCGAGGCGAAGCCGAGTACGTGAGAGTTATTTCACGTACGAGGCGAAGCCGAGGACGGGAATAATGGAGCAAGTGCCGGATAATAACTTTCGGTACGAGTTATGAACGATACTTTTCATCACGACGCAAAAATACACAAACACAGATTAGCAGACCTCATAGTAATATTAATATTACAACATCTTTATTTCTCAATTAATTTGATTGAACATCGAAATAAAATAAAATCTTCTAAAAGGAAACCTACATAATATTTCTCAATACATTTTGTTTAAACATGAAAATAACAGAATAAAACAACTTTTAACAATACATACAGCTGATTCAAATCATTAAACTAAACAGTAACAAAACACTAGCGCCGCGTAGAGGATAAATGGAGAACTAATTGAGAGCGAGGGAAAGTAAATTTAGAGCGAGGGAAAATCAGCTGATCGATTTTCCCTCGCCCTAAATAAGAGCTTGGGAAACGACTACTTTCATTGAAGTCAGCTGTTATCGAAAATAGTTACTTTCGTTACGAAGTGATGAAAAATCACTTTTCTTAGGGCTTTCCTTTATGTTAAATAAGGTTGGAAGATAAGTATTTACTTCGTCTGAATTAGAATCAATATGCATTCACAATATTTGTTAAGAGAACACAACATTTTGTATTAGTTTGTTTTTGGGGTTATTTTGCATTTTGCTCATCGATCTCTACTGCTGTACTACGTCACTAGTGGATTTCTGTTTGGGTTTTCAGAATATGTAGTTTCCTCATTCCTTTATTTTGAGTTCTAGTGATTATGTTTATATCAAAAGGTTTTAGCAAAAATTGTTTAGTGATCCACATGTGGGTGGTATAGGCTACATATCAATGCTAGGCCCTGTTGTATCTATTTTCTGAGAGGCACTTGAAACCAATTTGTCTTGACTTTGATCGAGAAAACGAAAGAATTACAAACCACTCCAGTACTATCAGACAGGTCTCTACTCAGATAGCCATATGGAGGAATTTTAAAAGTCTTCCTTAAAGTTTGCTTTCTTTGTAATTTTAAGCTTTAGACGATTACTTTTACCTCATGATAGCTATGCATAACATTAAAGTTTATCATTAAAGTATTCAAAGGCCAAGACTTTTTTAAATTTCTGATACAGATGTAATTTACGGTTTACTTGTAAACAAATATCTGTTAACTATTATTTTGATCTCAACGTTTATAAATGTTTCTTATTCTTACTTGATTGAATATTTGTGAGTAAACTTGTAGATAAATAATGTTTCATGGATCCAAACCACCTTGTTAACTAACTCCCTCTCCTTGCCATGTTAACATCAAAGTTGATTGGCTTTGAATATGTAATGTCCCCTCAAGACTTCAAAGCTCCATCCAAAGTGTGATAACAATGGTGTAGAGGTTTGATTCCTTATTCAACATAACTGTTTAGTAATCTCTCTAAATTCATAGTTTTAGATATACAGTAAACTTAATTGAAATATGTACTAAATACCCCCACCGCAGCAAACCTGCAGACTAAGCGAATTTCAACTTGTCTCATTACATTTTTACTACAGTACAATATTTCCATAAATAAGACATATTTATTCACAATTTAAATAACATTAGATTTAACGAGTGCTTAGGTTTGCTGCTACTGGGAAGGTAAAAAGTGTTTTTTGACCACGTCAATAGTATAGGATGAAATAAATAAATTTGCCAAATTTCATCAACGTGACAACGTACGTATATCCATAAACAAGTAAACTACAATAGTTTTAATTTTCTCCATAAGAATAACACATGGGAATTTTAAATTGCACTATTTTTTATTTTTCTCCGTGACCATTAGGCATACAACAGCACTTCAATATACTAAATTATTAATTTTTTTAAGCTCTACAAAACGATTTAGAAAAAAATAGTTTGAATTTTTTTTTGAATTTTTTTTATGAATTTTACATATGGTGAATTTTTTTCGGTTTTAGGGTAAAAAATGGGAAAACCTCATTTTTACCTCATAAACCCCCGTTCCCATGGCCCGATTATGCTGGTTCAAATGTAGGTTTATACGTTTGTACAAAATTTCATCAAAATCGGATCACTTTTGCTCGAGTTATTGCGCTAACGGACACACACACACACACATATATATATATGAATTTGAACGGATGGTGTTTTTGGCCTCTAGGGACCTCAAAACAAAAAATTAAATCGGTCCTGGGTCCAGGTCTTACCATGAGTACTAAGGTAATAGCTTATTCCCTATATGGGAAAATCGCTAAAAGTGTGTTACAAAAATCTGCTGAAAGTCGTAACTTTACACTTGGTTAGGTGATTATTTAAAAGTACCCAAGGTTGTTTACAATATTTTTAGTTGCAGATCCCATGGTTGATACATTAATACAGTACAGAGATTTGTTGGGTCAATAAAACATTATGTACTAGGAATATATTTAATTTTTTCAAATACCGTTAACCTTAAAATAGTCCTTTTTCCTTTTTCCCAAATTAGTGAACTCACTAAAACTAATCCCACCCCTGAACACACTAAGGTGTAGTCTTTTGTCGCTTGAAAGAATTAAATTACACTTACGCACAGAAATAGGTGAGAATTTACCAGATCTTTTTACCAAATCGTCCAAGTCACTGTCAGCATATACAATACGTACAGTCTAATACCTTTGTAAATTATATTAATTTATTATTTGACTGAAAATGTATTGTTAATGTAAAACGATAACTGATTTTCTGCCCACAGCATCAGAAGAAGAGAAGTTACTGGGTTCCATTCTGCTGCCGTCATACAAGATCTCGCCCTGTGGTACAGATGACAAGGTTTACCGCAAGTTTGTATTCAAGGCGGAGCACGCCAACATGAGGACTTACTACTTCGCTGCAGACTCTCAACCCCTCATGGCAAAGTGGATGAATGCTCTCAGTCTGGCCTCCATACTACAGGATAACACATCTAGGTAAAATCTTAATAATATGAAGTAGACATCCAATTCCTATGCTTATAGTAGTTGTCAATTTTATTACAAATAAGAACTTAGTTCTGTCAAATCTATAGGAGTTTTTCTAGCTGCCGAATTTGGCAGGGTCTGTTTTTCCTGACGGCTGCGAGGCAGATGTCAGTCCCGTACCCCGCAGCGGCATGGAGTGCTCCTGGACTACTTTTGCTATTGGTTAACGTGCAGTACTTGAGTGAATTGTAACGACTTAAGTTATCACAGTGATTTTGTGTTAAAGACTGTAATTTGTTTAATGGTTTTATTTAAGTTACTTCAAGTTCTGAAGGATAAAACTCAATAAATTGAACATTGACCTAAGACAATTAATTTAGTTTAAATGGGCTTTCTTGTCATTTAGCAATGCCGTACAAACCTAAAATTCTAATTCGAGGATAAACAATAAAACTGAACTAGTTAACGTACAGTATTTATTTAGAACTACATGCAAAATAATCAAATTTCAACAAATTCTTAAATACCCCCGCCGCAGCAAACCTGCCGACTAAGCGAATTTCCATTTGTCTTAATTGATTTTCAATTAAATATATTTTAATAACATTAGGTTTAACGAGTACCTAGGTTTGCTGTTACAAGGAAACTAATAAAGTGTGTTTCTTTGTAAAATATTGATAGCTTAGTACAAAATAAATAAATTTGATCTAAATACAAAATATATCCATAAACAAGCAAACTACAGCATTTGACAATATTCTCCATAAAAATAACATGGGAATTTTAAATTTACAATTTTTTAAATTTTCTCCGTTACTATTAACCGAACAAAAATACTTTTATATGCTAAATTAATTGTTTTTTTAAGCTCTATAAAAAGGTCTAAAGAGAAATTGGAAAATGTTGTGTTTTGAGGGTCAAAAGTGATAAAAACCAATTTTTACCCCATAAAACCCCCCGTAAAGCCCCGTTCCCATGGTCCGATCATGCTGGTTCGCAAACTCATTCAAGTTTATCTGGCTTTACACCTTTAAACCAAATTTCATCAAAATCGGACAAAAATTACTCAAGTTATCACGTTCACGGACGTATATATATATATATAAGTCTCTATACATATACATATATAAAAATTTGAACGAATGGTGTTTTTGGCCTCTGGGGACATCAAAATGAAAAAGTAAATCGGTCCCGGGTCTAGGTCTTACCGTGCCACCTACGGTAATAGCTACTTCCCTATAGGGAAAATCGCTAAAAGAGGCATACTGTGCACACTAGACTACTATAAACTGCATAAACAAAGCCAGAATTGAATACGGTATTGCAGTTCTAAGAAAATTCCCTTGCCAAAAAGTGCAGTTGCTAGAAAACATGCGTGACATTCACAATCTCCTAATTTGACTGCTAGAAAAACTCGTTTTTGCACTGTTTGTATCATGGTGTTGTACTACCAGTAGCTTAGAGTAACGTAATTGTTTGCATGTAAACGATTTTGTCATCATCTGCTATTTGTTACAGCTGGGGTGGCCACAAGCCGCACTCGTCTCACCAACAGACAGCAAGTGCAGACGACAGCGACTCAGGGTTCCACGGACAGTACAATGGCACCAGTCATGGCCACACTGACAGTCCTGCGGACACTAACAGCTGGCGCCCACCCTCTCAAGGTAAATACAAATCCTACTGTTGTTATCATGCTTATCATCAGTACTGACATAGTGATGGATCAGAGCTGGTTGGCTTCCGATTATACACCCAGTAATAACTGTGTGTGACTGGCTTAGGGCTTAGTGTGTAGGTTGTGATGAGGCTTGAATCTTGTCAATTACTACTGATGATAAGCGATGTGGTCCTGTCTTTTAGAACCCACTTCAACCCACAGGGTCAGTAATTTTCTAAGAGAATAAAATTCTTAGTATCATACTTCAGGAAAGCTCACTCATAGTATCAAAGATCTCATTCCATAAAAAAAACATAATCACTTTTCAAACAGCTTTTAAAAAAGGTTTACAATATTTAATTTTTTTGATTTTGCCACTATTTTTTATCAAAGTTTGGTACTTAAAAAATACAGGAACTGTTAAAAATGTAATTATTTTCTAGATGACCTATAGGACTGTACAATGTACATACCAGCATTGACTATTGGATACTACCGGTACCTAAAATACATTTAAAACAAATTGATTATTCAAGGTTTATTCATATTTTTCACAATTGTTTTATAGCAGCTTTAAGATCTGTTATATTTTGTTGCTACTGTGAGGGAAAATATAACATGTTGAAAATTACAAATGTTGATATGGTCAGTAACATTTCAGTATAAATCTGACCTCAGTGTTAATTTAGAACTTGGCTTATTTGTAAAATGTATTATAAGAAGAAAACAATAACTGAGAGTATTCTATTTTTTAAAGTTGTACAATAATATGTTTTATTGCAGGTTACCATCAGCCACTGTATGCTAACGCACCTCCTAAGCCAAGGAGGTTGAACGACACTTCACCCGAAAGATCTCCAGAGCGAGTGTCCGATGATGGGAGACTGTCCAAGATGGCTCAGCCCCAGGAGTATACTGTGAGGAATGACCGAGCGTACAACTACACGGCTCAACACTCCCACCGGCCGCCACTCATGCTGCCTCCTGGGGCCACTCAGCCTCAAGAGCGGCGCACACCCGACACCTACGGCAGATCAAACTCCACTACTCCGCAGACTGGCAAGGTCATCTCCTCTAAACCTCGGACTTTGGACTACGAAGATGTTTATCAAACAAACCCGGATCTTGTTAACTCTATGTATTCACAAGGTGCAATGTACACAAACAGACACGTGCAGTATCGGCAGAACCGTAGGAACGACGTAATGTCTAACAGCATGCCTTCGGAGGGCCGCAAACGGTTTCCCCCGAGACCTCACAGTGCTGACTTTTTAGAGTACGATGCTAGGAGGTCTTACCAGTCTCCCACTCCTCAAAGTAGTGATTCGGGCAATCAAATGTATTACAACCAAAGGACAGCTTCTCAGCCTCGCAGGCCAAAGTCCAGTTTAGACATCGTCCACTCTGAGGGTGTTGTCGATGGAGTTCATTGGTCGGAGGAGAGTTATGCTCGGAAGATGCGACAATCAGCTTCTTATGTCTCCCCACAGTTTCACAATCCATCAAACTCTTCCAGAGCAACAACCCCTTCTGTTAGGCAAATACCAATCATGGCTCCTGGTTACTACAATGGACCTGTGAATGGAGAATTGGCAAGGTACACTGCTTATGGTTGTAGACACTAAAATTTAATGAAAACCTATTTTATCATTATTAGTATTGCTTTTTAAATTAAAATACCCCTTATCTCTCAGGAGTAACTGGCGAGTTAAAATTCTTTTATCATGCTTATTGATAAAGTATACTAAAAATTTGATCCGGGTTGCACTATCCAAATCATTTCATTGCAATTATTTTCCATTCATGCCTAGGTACTCTACCTACTCTTGATTTTCAGATAATATACTAACCTATTTTTGGTATTTTGTTCTTTAACAAGATGATTTCAATCTTATCTCTTATCAAAGAATAACTAGGTCTATAACAAATTTAAAATCATCAGAAGTGATATTAACCTATGAACCTATTCTGTCCCAACAGCAGTGCGATGATGAGGCAGCACTCAGAAGCCATCCACGCACAAGAGCGGAGATGGAGTGAGTACGTGGATCGTACCAATGGTCAGTTTGTCCGCTCAGCGTCAGCACGACTCCCTCGCCACACCAATGACGACCACATGGAAGACGACGGCTCAGACAAGAGCTATCAGGCTGCCTTCCGACGGAGAAACAGCACGGATAATCGAGACCCTGCCGTCAAAACTCAACAGGTTCTTATTTTGACTAAGTTAAACGTTTGAAGAATGTAGACTTTGCAGCAGTTTTCTAATAAATAAATCATATCAAATAAAAAAAAATCCTTTATTGAAACTAACATACACATACATATATTGTGTAAAGTCAATAAAGAAAAATAATTACACATTTGGCATATTTACAGCACTAACTAATTAAGAGTATAATCTATATGAATACAGCTTTCTCCCTCATACAACAAACTATTGATTTGTATTAGTATTAATAAATAATAGAAAAAGTCCCCAATCCTGTAGCAGCATTTATCTGACAATAATTTGAATAAACTGGTTTTAAATTGCTTAAAATTTGTCAAACCCTTATTCATGGTTCTATGTAGACAATTATTCAATTTTATACCAGACTAGCTGTAACCCGCGGGCTTTGCCCCGTTTAACTTCTTAATTTTCAAGATGATCTCGTTCGCATGGCTCAATCACGTCCTGGTTAAAGTTCGTTCGTTACGCTCACTCACCTTTAGGTTGAAGCTCGTTCGCTACGCTCACTCACCTTTAGGTTGGAGCTCGTTCGCTGCGCTCACTTGCCTTCAGGTTGGCTCGATCGCTACGCTCACTTGCCTTCAGGTTAGCTCGTTCACTACGCTAACTCGCCTCCAGGTTGAAGTTCGTTCGCTACGCTCACTCACCTTTTGGTTGCAAATTAGCTGTTGTCATAAATGTAAAAGAAATAATAGTGCTGCACCCTGTTGGTAATCCTTGTAACCTTAATGCTATTAAACATCATAGAACAGAACCAACTTGTTTAATTGAAACAGCTGTTAAGATTCATTAATTCCATTTCTCATAAGGTTAACATGGGAAACTCCAGAGCCACTGGGGCGGAGCCGATTGGACGGATCACGAAATTGATGGTGTATAAACCTATTCCATGACATTCTACACGTATGTACCAAGTTTCGTGGCAATCGGTTCAGCGGTGTCTGAGTTTATCATTGCCAAACAAATATATATACAAACATCCTCTTTTATACTTATAGATAATATGGAGAATGTTCAATGGTTGAGGTGCTATGTATAGGTTATGTAAGACTATTCTTTTGTCTTGTATTATATTTGTGAAAATCAGAGTTATTTGGAAAATCCTTGTAACTCCTGGGTCAAACCGTGTGTATGTGTGAAGTAAGATGGCGAAATGATGGAAACAATACAATCCTCCTTCTTTAGGGTATCCTAAACACAGTTAATGCAAGATAACTTACACATGCTTGCACTGACAAAGGAATAGTTCTGATATGTCCCAATAATGTTTGGAATCCTCACCAGTTGCCAGTCTGATCAAGGGATTACCTACATTTTTCTTATGCCAACTGTTATTCTTGCCAAACATTTACTTAAGTGAGAAATAAGTCATATTCAATTAAATGATTTTTTATCTATGGAGGTCAGTAATTAAAAAAATATATTTAAGCCAGTTTTAAAAACAAATTGAAAAAATGTCCTACTACTATGATTCTTGTCTTTGTTGTGCAGAGGGAGGAGTCTATGAAACGTCTGCTGGAGTGGAAGCAGAGAATGCTCCAGTCTCCGCTCACTCGCAAGTCCAGTGGCTCCAGCAACCGAGGGTCTGCGCAGAACCAGCTCAACCCGTACAGTCTCACACACGAACAGAGGTCAGTCAATTTAAAAGTGCACAGAATCAGTTCAACCAGCTCTGTGCCTCACACTTATAACTCAAACCCAAGTCAGTCACTGTGGCTGATTTTAGGTAAAAACCTTACATTGTCAAATATCCCACGAGGGTCCATTTAGACCTACCAGGTTTGGGTTTATGGGACAAAGACGCCTAAGACACCAAATGCCAAACAATTATACAACAACTTCATGCTTTGCTTACTTTAATCTGTTATAAGATATGGGTTGATATTCTCGAGTGAATGCAGCAAGATTAAAAATATTCCGAAAATAAAAAAAGGCTTTAATATTAATGAAGAAATCAGATTGGAACAAGCACTTTCTTGGTGATGGCCTCTCACCCCTTCCTAAATTTCTAAATGACGACTAACAGCAAGGGGGCCTGGGGGCGGAGCCCCCAGCGAGCCAAAGGCGAGTAGTATTCTATAAATAGCATGTTTGAGATTTAAAAAATGATATTTAGACCATTGTTAATTTGTACATATATGATCTTATAACACACAACCTTGGGATATATACTCATAATAATCTGAAATTTAACAGATACAATACACAAAACAAAAATAATGCTGCTTTAGGCCATATTCGTTTTCTAATTTAGTTTGCCTCAACAATGGTACAATATGATGTTGAATATAGTTCATCACAAGGGCAAAATTGGCTTTTCCACCCTCACTCATTTTCCGACCTTGGCTTTGCCAAACTTGAGCTTGAGTCGAAAATAGTCACTTTATGTCCTAGTGATGAAATATACTATTCTTTCATATAGTAAAATTCTAACCCATATTTCAATGCAGGCTACGCAATTTACCAAACGACAATCAGTCCAACCCTGACGCGTGGCGACGGGATGGATGGGACAAGGACATGTTGGATCACGCACGAGCTCGCCGCAAACACTCAGACGCTGGCCGTAGCCGGTCTCAAGATGGCCGAAGATCTGTCACTTCCATTAGTCGATACAACAGCTACTCTAGCGACGATGAAGGTAAGACTTTTTTACTTATTTCTATATGACTTCCCATTGTTTAAATGTGCTGGATCAATTTGATGTAGTTTACTTATTGCCAATTGGAAATTGTTTTTGTATTTTTTAAAAAGGCCTACGGTGTAAGATTCATCAACATAAATTAATTTTTCGTAAAAAGTATTTTATTGAAGTATTACGTATTATAAATGGTAATTTATGTTTTCTTACCAAGAAGCAAAAATTCCCTTCTTACAAATAATTTGATTGATTGAGCATGTATAATTTAATATTAATATATTTTAGTATTATATTTTCATTTGATCCAGCACCTTATTTTATGAATAAATTAATTTCAGTAGTTTACATGAGACCGCTTCTGAGCTTAGCATGTGCATGTATGGTGATGGTGCAATCTTCCGAACTGTTGAGGTTCTTCTTGTTTTAACACTTTCCTTTTACTAAGATGAAGTAAGTCAGAGATTTTATAAATGACAATCGGTTCATCTGCACATCATTTAGCAGAGTTTTTTTTATGGTTAGTAGCATTATTGTATTTTAAAATATTATACCATTTCACCATAAGTATCTTAGTAGTTATAAAAACAAATTGTATTCTAAATTGATTGAACATTCAAATTTATATTGTTTTACTCATAACACCAAGATGATTAAATCCCCTATCTATATTAATTGAAGGATTGGCCTTGACAAGTTTGACCGAGGAAGTCCAGTTAGGTTTTGTCATAGATGACAAAAGATGATCTATGGAAGTAAATTTTAAATTTAGTTATTGCAGCAAAGCAATTTATAAACATAGCACTTCCCAATTTTTTTAAATTATTAAATAATAAAAAATATAATTGTGGTAGGAACATCCAAGCATGTATTGACATCAATATTTTTTTGTATCGTACTTCACACAATATTCTTATTCATTAGTTTAGTGATCTTCAAATCTAGTTTTTCCTCACACTACACAAAGTATTTACACACACATCATACTTAGCCACTTTACTGCACTACTGCACTTTCGTAAAGACTTGTCATAAAGGATAGTTTCTTTTAATAATATATGTATTCCTGATCAGAACATTTTATCTCTATTAATCTTACATGATTTTAATGTTCTGCGTTACTTAAAAAATAGCAGGTGATTTTTTTCATTATTTCTCTATGTTTAAAGGTTTAAAATATTAATTAAGCAGTAAACAATAGATTTTGGAGTCAAATGGTTGGTGTGGATCTAAATATCTTTAGCAACAATTATAAAAAAAAAAAAAAATTGTGTCATGAAAATAACATGCTGCTGGTACAAGATGAAAGTTATAGTGTCAATTAATTTATTTAGAGATTAAACTGTTCTCTGTAATATTGTAATAATACTGTAGTTAACTATGTATTTGGTATCTTTTGAAGAATTTAAATATCTGGTTCTTTTTGTATTCACTTTTTTGTAGAATATTATTTAATCACACTTTTCTATACTTTATATTTGAAGTAAATATCACTTAAAGCAAATTACTAATCTATGTATTTCATACAACAAAGTAGCTTATAAAATTATGAAATCGAGTGTATGATGATAAAATTCACCTTGTTTTAATAAACAGAATATATATTTAATATTCAATTTATAATATAGAAAGCAGAAAGGATTATATGGAAACTTTGTAGGCATGGAAAGAAAGGGGCAGAGCCCCGAACAAATTATAATTAAAAATACTTCTTAGTAAGACCAAGACCTATAAGAAAACTGTGTTTAAACTTTTTTAGCAATCCGATTAATATCCGACAACAACAAAAAATCTGTTTGCCTGTACATATATTTCTGATGAGAATGATTCTATACATAATCTTAAGCCTGTATTCTGTCAGCCATTTTGTTCATGCTTTGTCCTATATTTTTATCTTTGATTACTGTTATAACTACGTATTGTACACCGTGTAAAATATTTATTCATACTGGTTGTGGGAGGCTATACTGTATTTAATAAACCAATTTTGTAACTATTGATGATAGGCTACTATTAACATTAAGAATCAGGATACCTATGCATCTTTTGTTGTAAAGAACAGTAAATAAATGTGTAGACTTTATTACTTTCAGTCTACTTGAAACGGACAATAATTTTGAACTTACTATTTTGAATTAAAAGTAATTGAACTCTGAATTTTGATCTTAAATAAAAGAACTTGATCTCACAGGACAAACTAAAAATATTTTAAGAGTTCTTTCAAAACAGAAGTAGTTAGTCCTGAAAACTGTAACAGTATACCATACTGTTAGACTAATGGTCAAAAAGCAGTACATTTACAGAAATAGTTAAATTTTAAAACAATTTGGTGGACTTGTGCAGATTCTAAGTCAATTAAATTTTTATTGTTATTCATAGAAACAAAATTCCGAATTTCCATTTTGCGTCATTTGTGATCAATTTTAACTAAGTTTAACGAAATTAATCAATTGAAAGGATTGCAATATACCGTAATTCAGAGAACAATAGTTAGAGTTTTTACAAATTAACCATAAATGATAGATTACCATAATTGATTATTGCTGGTCGTTTCCCATCAAGGATTAATAAAACAGAAAAGTCACGACATTCTGGGGTCCAAGGAAGCTTGAACAAGCCGCATCCCCACTAAGCTGATGAAGGCCGTTCGGATAGGAGGTGCGATTGGCCGCTTGGCATAGTTGTCACAGTTGTACAAACGGCATCGTGCCATGCGGCTTAACCTAAAAGTGAATATGTTTTCGAATGTTTGATTAGATTTTGAGAGGCGAGGTAAATGGCTAGCACCGATGTCTACCACTTGGCCCCACCCCATCTGTTTGGAATCGGCAAGCCGCATTGCTGATCGGCACAATGCGACGCAAGCCGGCTGCGTGTTCACTCTTGCTGCTTTCCATTTGGAATAGTAGGGATACCGCTTGACAAGATTAGTTCACAAACCTGACAGAGCCAGAAACCACAAAAGCTTTTGATAACAGATGTTTAGAGCAGTAAAATTGTTATTAAAAAACAAACAAGAAGGACAAATGAAAAAAAACGTAAAAAATATAAACAATCTTGAATGTATACTATAACACAAGATCACAAAACGTTATAAAACTTCTGTTTTACTAATCTGTGATGGAAAATGTCTACAAAAATCCCTTAAACATGGCAAACTCACCACCATCAACAATAAACATCAAACAAATAATATAGGAGCAGTTATGTTTACATGTGGACCTGGTATCAATACAGATTGAATAATGGATAGATCTCTAGAAGTTATTTTGGAAAGATATACAGTTTTATTTTGCTACATTACCTGAGAAGTTAGGAGTCCCAGGGGGTCATATATTCATAAAAAGATTCACATAACACAATAATTATATTTCGTCTTAGTGTAGAACCTTTTTAGGGAGGAAATCAAAGAGAAAAATGTTGACGAGTGATGACATCATCTCCTCACATGAGTAATCTGAAACTTATCCTTTCCAAAAAAATTGTTAAAATAAAGTCCTACAAACTCAGCACAATGTGGACCAGAAGTGTGCCAAATTTGTGAGAGTCCAGGTAATTGGGGAAAAAGTTCCTAAAATTTAAACTGAGACTTGAAATTGTCTATTTTTATTTTACTTCTCTTGTAGTGCCATTACATTTAAGACACGATGACATTGAAAAACATAACTTTAAATTGTTGAAAACAATACATTATTTTCTTAAAAAAAAATGTGGTTATGGTGTTCAATGTAGGTCTCCTGTTGTCAGATATTTGTGACTCACAAGTCCTGGTCCGCAAGTAATGCAATTGTGTAACAGCTGAAGCCATAGAATGCTATAGTTTTCCAAAATAACTAAACGTTCTGTAATAGTTTTCCATGATAACCATTGTTTTCTATACCTAGTTTTTTTTTTTTTGGAATGGCTCAAAAGGTCGTAAATTAAACAGCTCAGCCATAGGCGGTCGACACACGAGAAGTCTGTTTTGCAACTGAAATTGGCAACAAGTTTGACAAACTAGTGCCTGCGTGGACAGTGCACACTTGGTGGGACAGTGCATACGGTGCAACTGCAATGCAACCAGTTGAGGACCAGTCAGCGATCAGTCATAGGCCCAGCGCACACGGTGTGACTGTTTTACAACAACTGTTGCAAACTAGTTGCGTCTGAAACCAGTTTGCAACTGAAACAAAGCTTCTGTCCGCACACGAAGTGACTGTTTTACAACTACAGTTGCGTCTATTGTGCAATCAGTGGAGTGTCAATTTAGTGCAGTTACGTTGTTTTAAGGGGACAAGGCCCCTTGCCCGGGACGTGATGAAATTTTGAGTCTGCTTCTTGTAATGCAGCAGCAGCTACAAAGAGCCTACATTCAATATTTGTTTCAATATAAGGATGTAGGTACCCAATAATTTCTACGTCCTCTACCATTTCTCAATTGTGTATACAACACAAGAGCTTGTTCATCACTACTGTTACAAATTTTAAACACAATACACAGTATTGTAAAAACAAAATTAGAATTCAATTAATAACTGTCTCAACTTAACTACAATTTCAGTCGCGCCCTTGTGCGGATTCAACCAACGCAACTCCAACCGTAATCGCGTCATAAACACAAAACAGTTGGTTCAACTTTAGTTGGGCTTCAGTCTTCCCGTGTGTTGAGCGCCTTATATGTGCAAGATATATACAAATTCTGTTGGGATTTGCTTGGATATTATATCTGGACTGCTGGTTTACCTGATGCTGAGTTTGCAGGATTCGTATATCTGTAATAATTGTACATATATATTTAAGTCAGTTAATGTAAATTTTACGATATAAGGCTGTGGTAACGGTGATTACCGATGTGGTAACGGTGGCTTGCGGTACTAACCTTGGTGAACTGTCTGCATGGACGCGATCAAGCATGCTGGAACAGGCCTATCAACCCTTGTTCCTATTACTTTTAAAGTTTTGCCACAACCCTTGCAATTCCATTGTAGAACAAGATACACACAGCATTGGTCTAGGCATGATGTTAGCTTCACGTTTGAATTTTTTCTGTAGTTTTGCACTTATTTGAATGATGACATGACTTTGTAAATCAGAATTTTGGAAATAAATATTTAAATAAAGGAAGAACTCACATAAAAGTTTGAAACGTGATAAAAATATAAAAATGTTATTACTACCCTTTGTTATTACTAAATATTTTTAAAATCTTTTTACCTTTTTTAGTATTTTTGTAAGAAAAATTTATTGGAGTTTCTCATTATTCAAAACTGTTTGAAAAGGCTATATGGAGTAATTTTTATTCATCTGCAGATATATTTCCTGTACCATTTTCGTAGGAGATAACATATCAGAACAATTTCGTTCAGTGTTTTAAAATAATTTCAGCTTAACTTTTTTGTCAATGACAATATTTTTTCCAGACAAGTAAATGTGGTAAAACATTTAAAAGAAATAAGAACATTTTCAGTCATTTATTCTGAACGTAATATTTGGGTTGTCGTGTCAGAAACTGGAGGAACGAGGGAGTGTCGGAAACGAGTGAGAAGATCATCAAAAGAGGCTAGCAGATCAAGACTCAACTCTCTAGAGGGAAAATCATCAAGAACTACTCCTACATCAATGGCTTTCCCTGACTATGAAAATATCAAGTTAGCAGAAAAATCTGCAATTAAAGAACGAGCAGATATGGTGAAAACACCTACATCCTTGAATAAAATAGATTCTAGCTATTCAAACTCTCATAGTGTAACTTTGGAAGAAAGTCAAGTCAACAGGGATAGGAATTACAGTAACAAAAGCCCCCATAGTAAGAAGTCATCAGAGGATTATGGTCCGGGAGAAAGTTTTGATAGTGGTAACACTTTGGCAGAATCAAGTATTTTAGGTTACGAGGACAGGTTTACTACTAGTAGCAAACATTCTGATAGTGGCTACGATACACTGCAAACTGGGGGAGTTCTGCCAGTAGATCCAGATGTCAGTGATTTGCTCAAGTTCCGCTTTGACAAGCATAAGTCGGCCAACGCAGTCTTTGCATATCCTGTACACACTAAAGTGGGAAAGAGTTTTGAAAACTGGGGGGAAAAGCTCGATGAGTCAAGACTGATAAAAGAATTTTCATACCAATATATAAAGTCAAATAAAAATGATGGTAAAAATATTGAGGAAGATAAAGACAAGAAAAGCTCAAAGGTCCTGTTAACAAAACATTTTGAAGTGCCACCCCAAAATATTGTTCAAAATAGAATTAAGGTGTTTGAGGCTCCTAAAGAAGATGATCCTTTAAACTCTGCTCAAGTGAAAGATTGTAAATTGAAAATGCAAGAACCGCTGAAAGTCGCCTCTGCATACCAGCCAAATGAAGCACACGTATCTACAATAAAAACTGTGGAGGAAAAACGTGAACGCTACAAGAAGACTGATGAAGAACTGTCAAATTTGAAGCGCTCAAGAAGAACAAGTTTGCATGGGTTTGCACTAGGAGATGCAATATCTATGTTGGATGAAGAAGCAAAATATGCCAAGAGAGAATCGTTAACAGGTAGTCAAAATCCAAAATCAGTAAAGGATTTACTTGCTGATTTTGAGCGTAAATCTCAAATATTAGCTGCTGAAGAAAAAGAAAGCGAAGATAGTCCAGGTAAACGCCCTGTGTTCAGTGACACTGAAACATTACTCTATGAAACTTCCAGTGACCCTGAAAATAACCACTGTGGTAATATTATATCTGGATTGTTGCGTTCTGAAGTAAATGTCAGTGAAGATGATGAGGACAGGGATGAAGAAGTGGCAGCAGTTTTGGGACAAAAAGATAGCTTTGTTAGTTCTTGTAGAGATTTAGGCAGAAAACAAGAATCAAAACCTAGGTCTATAAGATCAGAGAAAGTTAATGGTAATGGCAGTCATAGCGCAATAGACAATGCATCTACTTCTAACTATTTAAGGCTTGGTATGACTGGATCCTTAGTTGCTGGAGACGATTCCTGTTCCCAGTCCAGTACTCCACATTTAGAAAAAATTAGGATAGATGAGCCAAAACCAAAGTTATCATGTAGCCCTGAACAACATTATATGCCAATGACTCCTTCAAAGAAACCATTTATGGGTCCCATTACTGATGTATTCTCACATACAAGAACTAGTTCAGTTTCTCTTAGTATTTCAAATGAAACCCCAGGGGAAGAAAGTTCATATGTTGAAATGACAAATGGTAACATTCGATCCTTGCTTGCACCTGATTCAGGACATGAAAAAAGTTCATCGAGTACCTTGACTGATTCACAAAACTATTGTGAAATAAGATCCGATAAAGACAGTGCACACTATGAGTTCTTATATAAAGCAACAAGCACTACTACTGAGCCGTTATATATGGAAGTTAGTCCTGTGGTAGAAGATAATACCAACGATGTTAAAAATCAATCAAATGAAAATATGCCAAGTGCCAAAAGAGAGGAAACTGAAGGTGCTGAACAGCCCCCAACACCCCCCAGAGCTGTTCTTCCTGACATATTGAGTCCCACATCCAATGGCAGTAAAAAACAGCCATCAATTAAATCAGACAGTTCAGATGCTGATGATGAAGCTTCCAAAGATCTTGACTCTTTGGATGCTCCAAGACATCCTAGATTTAGCCTTTCCGACACTTTCAGACCTGCTTCATATTATCTTGGTGCTAGTATTGGAGAGAGAACATTAATTGGAATGACAGCGGAACATCCAGATTCTTCCGATAGTGATTTAGTGTCACCTCCTCCAATACCAACAAGCCCCCCTCCACTGGACGACTTGGAAACTAGTTTAGAATCATCAAGTGAGATAAAGAAACTATCACCAGTTCAGATGAAGAGTGAATCTTGTAAAATTGACATAGAAGGGAAAGATAACAGTCGAATGTTGTGGAACCCTACTCCATTAATGGGAAAAGATGTCAGAAGTTTGCATGAACGGATGGAAAGCTTAAATTTATCACCCATTATAGATGATCCTTTAAGTTCTGAAACTGATTCTATAGACTCCAGCAAAAGAGATAGATTATTAAAAAGAAGGCCTGTTTCAGCAGATATTTTGAACAGTCTGCAAGATACAGATTTTCTCCATTGTTCTTCCCTTAGTGGAAGGAAGTCCGGAGGAAGTGATTTAGACTCAGTTGGAAGTAGAAATGGACTAGCTATGAGTTTAGAAGAAGGAGAGGGAATTGATTTTGACCAATATCTAGAAGGACTTCAAAACAACAATCAGTTAACACCAAAGATGCTTTCAGAAGATTTAAACTATGAATACCAAAACTATGATAAACAAAAACACAGTCAACAAAATACTCCCCCCATTGCCAACATCCCTGAAACAACAGCTTACACACCTGATGGATCTAATTCTATTGACCAGGATTACAGATTAAAATATAAACCCTCACATCCACAGCCGTCTAACAGGATTGATGAAGTTCATTATGAGAATCTGCCAGGTCTCTTCCCTCCTCCTCCCTCCGCCGAGTATCTCCAGGAATTATCCTCTGAAAATGATACCGTAATGAGATATTCTAGTCCAGAAGGTGGCCTTGCTAGATCTTCCCCTGTAAGAGTAGTTGAAGGCCAGGGCAGTAGTAGAGATATACCTGCTGGAGCCCCATATTATTACTCAGATCTATTAAAAGCAGAACAAGCAACTCAATCAAATAACCGAAATGTGAATATTTTAAGATCATTGAAAATGCAGCAACTTAACAATCAAAGAGAGGAAACAAACTCATCAGATGTAAGTTTCTTGAACAAAAGGAATGATATTGGTCGCAGGGTAAATGCCATCAATCAAATTTTACCTGGTCAGATGATTAGTAGGGACGATGCTGCTAAATTAGCTGAAGAACTAAGAACTACTTCAGTTCACTTTCTTGGAACTGCAGATAAAAGCGGCCAAGTTGACAAACGTAATTTGTATGAAGCCGATACACTTCAAAGGCGTAAGGCTGTTGCCATTATGGAACAAAGGTACCGGTCTCAAACTCCTGATTTTAGGAGTAACACTAGAAATTTGTATCCACACGGAATTCGTGACAAAAATGATATGAGTCAAGGGGAAGAAAGACAACTAAGAAGAAGATCCAGGTCTTTGGAAGGCCTGTTGGATGAACCGGATTATTTAGATTCAGAACCTCGCCACAGCCGTGTTTCTCCTGGGAGTGCGATATCTCGACTTCTTCAGACTACTCAGCCACAGCCACAAAGCTGTAGAAGTCCCATTTCACCGATACCTGTTTCCAATGGTCCTAGATCGTCAAGATCCAGAGCACCTCCTCCACCTCCAGATGTCTGGGAAGAAGACACCCTCTGGAGAGAAAACTTAAGGAGGGTAAGTATTCGCCACACCAGATCTTTAGATGATTTGGATAGAGACTCACCAAGAGATGTCACTCCTTCAGAAAATAGAAAAGTCAGTCGGGAAGTTACCTATGTAAATGACAGCGTCACTAGGGCGAGAACAAATCATTGGGAGTATGAAGAAGATTATCGCGAAGGACGTTCGCTGAGACAGACAAGATCCACAACACAAACTGACGTCGATGACGGTGTACTCTACGAACGCTTAGTCCCCAGAGACTCTGAGGTCCTAGACAGAACGAGGCGGGGACAGACTTATATAGAAGGCTATGTTTGGGATGAAGAAAGAGAAGTATTTCACCGAGGAGAAAAATCTATACTACCGAGCAGGGACCCTCCAAGAAAACCTACTCAGCCTTTTTTAGAACCAGGCCTGTACCCAACTCGACCACCCTCATTCGAAATCGACCGAGAGAAGTTGCGGCAGTGGGACCTCATGTCGAGTGCTCCAGCCGGCATGTTGGGGCACGCCGGGGCTCGTCGCGGACTACTACATCCCGCGGACACAACACCTCCCAGTTCACCAGGTCAGTTACATACACACTTCCTTCCAAGTACATTATATTAAGCAATTACTTAAGTTAGTGTAGCAAGTTGATTTAAATTTATATTCTACAATGTATGTTAAATTTCAAGATGTCATAATCCTATATGATATTTTAAACTATGTAATACAACGAGAAATTTGGCCGTATGTATGAGACTATTGTGTTGTTACCAGTAACTTTATACTGTAATTGAAAATTGAAGCTTATACATTCTATGAAACAGAAGCTAATCATGGCATTTGCTACTATATAAGAATTGAGGTGATATCCAATCCCCGTTATCCAACTGGCATGTTATTTTCTAGTAAATTTATATTTTTCAAAATTATCTTTTAACAAAATGACCAACCATAAATGAGACTCTTAGTTTATTATTTAGTCTTAAAACTGGATTTACACGTTAAAGAATAATGTTGCTCAAATTATTATTATTTTTTACAAAATCTGTTTTTACTATATTGTGATTCATAAGATTCTGATACCCAGTTTTTAATAATTAAATATTATCTATAAATTTTTTTCTGTCTGTCAAAAAGCAGTTTTAATTTTTCAAGATGTAATTTCTGTACTTTTTTCACTTGGCAGTAACTTTTACAAAATAAAAAATATCCAATATTGTATTCTGATGTCAAAATTCAAGCATATAGCATTGTTCTTTTCTATGGGATCCCTAATAATGTAAAAATTAGAAAATTATCCAAAGCCCACTAATTTATTATTGTTACTTATAAATAAAAGTTTTTGTTTTTTATACCGTTTGTTTATGATTTTTAAACTGCTGAAAATATGATAGTACAGTTACAGTATGATATAGAGTCATAATACTTTACAAAGCTTAAAGCGATTTACTTATTTTATGAATGGTTGGGTAATTTCCGCTTGCTTTCAGATAATGTTGTATTGAAAAGTACCATATATTATTAATTCAATAGATGATACCTATAAAAAACTACGGTTTCACTTACAATGCATTTTTTTACTTTCCTGGATAGCACAATTCACCCACAATCACCAAACACAGGTTCACATTTTTGCACGTTGGGGTTTACTTCACAATTTAGATTACCACTTTTAGAATTGGGACAAGTTAAATCTACAGGAGGTGCATGAGTTGGTTCCACTGTTGGAGGTTTTGTTGACTATTGTGAGATCAGGTTTCAGGATGAAACTATATTGATGAATTTCAGATCAGGTAATACTTTTATAAAATAATCTTAAGATATCTTTAGAGTAGCAGAATACATCAACAGTCTAGTCACAGTAGAGTGATATTTACTTTTGTAAGTTACATCTGGTAGTACTGTATGTTTGACAGAAATTGCTTGAATGGCGCTCTAACTGCCGGATGTTTTGTTAGGGTTTATTTCTCTTGTAAGTGTAACCGCAGGCTTAGCTGTAAACTCAACCCATGTTTTAATATCATCATATTTCATATACTGTAGTAAAAAAATACCTGTTTTGATTTTATGTGTTTTTATTGAAGCTAAAAACATTTAGTGAGACTAGTAAATCATACAAATTTTATGGTATTAAAGGTTTATAATTAACGGCCCCCCATTAGAAGAAAATTTGAGGCATTAAATGGGAAGTTTGAAGTTTTTCCTATCGAGGAAACCTGAAAACCCAGCATTATTAGTCCAAAAAAAATATTATTTGAGGATTTTGAAATATGAACCACTAACTAGAAGTAGACTACACGTTCTTAAAATATCTACTACTGGTACTTTTTAAAAGAGAGAACTGTTTCTATTCTAGATTCTAGGACGCTTCAATGCAAGGCATAGGCTATATACTTTTTAGCTCAACAATAAATAGCTTTTCGGTATTTACCAAACTAAAATAAGTTTCTTACCAAATATTTTTTGTAAATATAACAAGCTATTCTTTATTTTTTTTTATCCATAGCATAAATATAAATATTTAAAGTCTTTAGATTCCTTTGTGTGAAGTGTGAATTCCTTCACATATATACAGATAAATCATAGCTTCATTATGTCTGTCATCTTAGCCCTTGATTGCATAAACTTACCAAATTTACCAAACCAATGGTAGACTGTAGTTTACTGAGACTGTGCAGCCTCATACAAAAAAGGGGATGTAAACTGATAATTAACAGATGTAGTATACTGTTAAGAATGAGGTTATGTTTTTTGGCGGGAATCCAGTATCAGCTGATGGACGGCCGCGCATGCGCCCAGTCACCTGTCTACTATCACCACGATGACGATGCCGTCGTAGCCGTACTACTTCATTGCCGCGTCGCTCGACCTCAGTGTTGGTAACGCCACGCTCGTCGCTCCGCTGTCCGCTCGCTCAGTACGGTTGCCGACGCGCGTCGTCCAGGTTGTGCCGAGTCGATCTCTCCCGCGTTTTCGCGTAGATCCGCAATGGGAGGAAAAGTCGGGTTTTTCTGCACCCCAGGCTGCTGGTCGGCTTGCTCTAGAAAGCCCGTCCCATGTGAGTCGATTCTACGCTCCCTTGGCCTCTTCTGGTGTTTGCGTCTGTATCGCTTTATTTTATTTTGATTTATCCAAAAATAGTATTGGCTATTTTAGCAAACTTCTCGCTTTTATCACTTTATTTCACTTTTGGAATACTCACACTGTTTTCACTGTATGTTGTTTATAGCTAATGGTATAATTTGAATAAACTGTTTATGATTTTTTTACAAATACTGACATAAAAGCTGTGGTCCTCATGCATTAAACACTTGGTAGGCTACTCCACCGAGTAAACGCTAATGTTGTTTTTAAACTATTCATATTTTCTACGGCTTGTTACTTTAATAGGTATCTACATCCTATAACTTAGATCTTGGAAGGCAAAACAAATTTAAAATTGATTTATTAAAAAAACATTCATTCAAATTTCAAATAAACCATAGATCTATATCTTTACTCAAACTTAGTATTTCCATGATATGTTATAGGAGCGATATTACCCTAACCTAGAGAAATTTTATAGTTATGGATTTGAGGGAAAACAAACAACACTTAAATCTCATCATACAATTGCGTTACGAACCCAAACCAAGTCCAAAATAACAGAGATCAATAAATCACTCCATTAAAGCCTAGTATTTCATTTGACCACCCCTAACCGCTATAATTGAGAGGTAAAATTATCACAGAGATTTAAAAACACCCAATCTCCGTATCAACTTATGCCACTTTTAAATTAACAGATCAATATCTTTACTCCACCGAGGCTAGTATTTCCGTGGCAGGTTATGGAAGCCACCCCTAACTGTGATATTTGTGATAATGCCGTCGCACCCTCCCTCACCCCTCGCAGTTGCCCCGGGTTCTCTCCCCATCTCTCACTCACACAGACGAGTACCGACCTTTACACGCTCATTCAGGGGTTCAACATTTCACTATACAAGTATACGTTCCATTTCCATGGCAACACTCTAAAACACTACACTCATGAAGGTTGCTGAGTTGTTGAACCTCCCATTGAGAGGTCTGATGTCAATTAATAACAAATATACAAGAATGATTTTACTTTAATCAATGGTTCAACTTCTCATTTGTAATATACAATTTTCCTTAGTTATAACGTTATCAGACCAAATTCATTTCTTTTAATTTCGGTGGAAAGTGGTATTCTTTGTGCCAGATAGAGCTTTGACTTAAAATATTTTCTGCTTTTAAGTTTGTATATTTTTTTAGCCTATATTTATAAACCCTAGACATTTTTGTAATGAGACAATTCAAACATTTTCCCCCAAAAGGATTAACTCCCTTATTTTTTAGTTACCGTATTTCATTAAAAGCATACCCAAAATTGACATCTCTTTTGCATTTGCACTGAGTATCCCTTTCAAATAGACTTAGAGAACCCCCCAAATATGAAGCACCTAAATTAATGCATTTATGTATGATATTAGGCTATATTATTCCATGAACCTAATTATATAAGCTTTACCGTTAACATAAAACATAAACCTCTAATGCGTTTATTATTGTTTTTATTTGTTATCCTAATCGTATTTATTGTAGTAAAATAAGGAGAATAATAACCAACGGTAGAGTATGTTTGTTAGTAGCATATACAGTGTATGCACTAAAGATTAACCGTTCTGCAACGTAAATGATTACTTATCAATATTTCCTGTACATTGACAGATCATCCTGTTAAATATTGTCACAACAATGATATTAGCGCCTGCGTTTATCAGCTGCCTTGCTACAAGGATTGATCACTGTTCACTGTTCTTTTATCGCTATCAAATTGTCAAAGATCCAATTGCTTTTAAATCGCTAGCTAGTCAATTTATATGTTTAGAATATTTATTTTGTATGTACTTTGGCATAAACAATCCAGCTGTGTTTCTTCCACACATTATTCTTGGGAAGGCTTCTCTGTCTTATTTCCGCTCCGATTTTGACCCATCTCCCCTCAATAAGTACCATATAAAAAAGTACCAAAGTACCAAGTAAGAAGCAAATTGGAAAGTGTTTCAAGTTATAGGTTGATACCCCATTGCTAAGTATGTTTGAAGATTCTATATATGACAAAATAGGCCTAGCTCATGCCAATGATCTGTTAATTTATTTATGTCGTAAAAACCAAGTTAGAATATCTTAAACAAAGCTTTTTTTACTTAATTTAATTTGAAACAAGTTTTAGCTGCTTCACACTTAATTCTTGTAAAACGTTTTAGTAGGTTATTCTTTTTTTTACTAATTATCGTGGTAATGTGATGATTCAGGTATTCTTTTTGTTTGTATAGAATTAGGGACGATTTTGTTATATTCGAATATCTGTTATGACCTTGAGGTTTTAAAAACAACATAACATGAAATACCCTTATCTTAGTGAAAAGTACTTAGCTTAGTGTCTCGGATACAAGAAGCTCAGGGACCGGTGTTTAGAAGGTCAAATGATTTCACCAGGTACCGTTCTTGAGGTTTTCTATTTGCTTCGTATTTCGCTACAAAAAACTTAAAAGAAAACCGAAAACCCCAACTAAC